GGGGGAGCTGGCATGGGATGAGGATGCTGGGATGGGAGCGCTGGGATAGGATCGGGGAGCTGGGATGGGTCTGAGGAGCTGGGATGGGGGTGCTGGATTGGGATGGGGGTGCTAGGATGGGATGGGGGTGATGGGATGGGGGAGCTGGCATGGGATGAGGATGCTGGGATGGGAGCGCTGGGATAGGATCGGGGAGCTGGGATGGGTCTGAGGAGCTGGGATGGGGGTGCTGGTGTGGGATGGGGGTGCTGGTGTGGGATGAGGGTGCTGGGATGGGATGGGGGAGCTCAGGTAGGATGGGGGACCTGGGGTGGGATGGAGGTGCTGAATTGGGATGGGGCTGCTGGGATGGGATTGGATGGGATGGGAGGGGATGGGATAGCCAGGTTGGATTGGGTTTGGGAGGCTGGGTTGGGCTGGGGGAGCTGGGGTAGAATAGGGGTAGTGGAATGGGATGGGGGTGCTGGAATGGGATCGAGGTGCTGGGATGGGATGGGATAGGATGGGTTTGGGAGGCTGGGTTGGAATGGGGGAGCTGGGGTGGGGTGGGGGAGCCAGGGTGGGGTGTGGGTGCCAGGGTGGGAAGGGAGGGGGCCGTACCTCTGGCTGTGCTGGGGGTGGCAGAGGCAGCGGCTCTGACAGTGCAGCCCGTAGAGGCCGGGCAGGCAGCGGCGCTCCTCGCAGCGGCTGCCCTGGAAGCCGGGCTCGCACAGGCAGCCCCCGTCCACGTGGAAGCACTGGCCCCCGTTGGCACAGTCGCAGCTCTCCTGGCAGTCCTGCCCGTACCGCCCCACTGGGCACCTCTCCCGGCACCTGCGTGGGGAGCAAGGTGAGGGCACAGCCCCACCCAGAGCTGAGGTGGCTCCTGGAGTCCCCCCGGCTCCAAGCCGAGGCCATCCAGCTCAATGCATGCCAGGCTGGGGAGCTGGGGTGGCCCTGCCTGCACGGAGACCTGGCACCGACAGCAGAGGGGCTCGGTGGCCCTGTCCCCATGTGCCACATCCCCGTGTGCCCCCCACCATCCGTGGTACCCCTTTGCCCTGTGTGGCCCCTCCCGGTGCACCTCCACCTCCATCTGCTGCCAGCCCCATGTGCCCTTGTTCCCCATGCTCCTGTCCTGGTGTGTCACATCCTTCTGTCCCCCGTCCCCTTCTCCTCCCATTCCCCTGTATCCCCATTCCCCTGTGCCCCCAATCCCTGTCCCCTCCATCCCCCTCCCTTCCATCCCCCTGTACTCCCACCTCAAGGCCTCCCAATACCCTGTGCCCCCAATCTCCCAGTCCCCCAATCCCCCAGTCCCAAATGTCCCAGCCCCTCATCCCTTTCTCCTCCATCCCCTTGTACCCCCAGTTCCCAGCCCCTTCAGCCCCCTGTACCCTCACTCCCCTGTGCCTCCCATCTCCCTGCCCTCCATCCCCTTGTACCCCCATCCCCTGGCCTCCCATGCCCATATTTCCCCCTCATCCCCCCAGTCCCTGTCACCCCTCACCCCCCTGCCCCCCATCCCATTGTACCCCCATCCCCTGGTCCTCCAACACTCCAGTCCCACAACGGCCCAGCCCCTCAGCCCTCTCCCCCTTGCATTCCCTGTTCCCAGCCCTCCAGCCCCCTGTACCCTCACTCCCCTTGTCCCCCCAGTCCATGTTCCCACCCATCTCCCTGCCCTCCATCCCCTTGTACCCCATCCCCTGGCCCCCCCATGCCCACACTCCCCTCCTGTACCCTCAATCCCTGTGCCCCCCACAAGCCCCATCCCCCCCTCACTGCTCTCCAGTGAATCCAGGGGCGCACTGGCAGTGCCCCCAGCGGGGGTCACAGTGGCCCCCGTTGTGGCAGCGACACTCGCCCTGGCAGCCGGGGCCAAAGCGCCCGGGGGGGCACGGCACGGAGCAGATCTCCCCCTGCAAAGGAGCACCGGGGTCAGCTGGGGAACAGGAGGCACAGAGTAGGGTTTTTGGGGGGTGAGGGGGGGCACAGCCCACCTACCATCCATCCGTGGGGGCAGACGCAGGTGCTGGTGCTCGATGGGTGGCAGATGCCCCCGTTCTGGCAGGGACAGGGGGTGTCACAGGGTGTCCCCTCGGGGCAGGGCACCTCACAGCTGTGGGGGGATGAGGGGTAAGCAGGACCCCCATCTGGGGAGTGGCAGGGGGGGGTGTGGGTGTAGAGTGAGGGGTCCCTACTCACAGGGGGCCCGTCAGCCCCGGGGGGCAGAGGCAGGCGCCGGTGGAGGCGTTGCAGGGGGCCTGGTGGTGGCAGGGGCAGAGCAGGTGACAGCCCTGCCCGTAGGTGCCAGCTGGGCACGGCTGGTGGCACAGAGGGTCGGCGAAGCCGGGGGGGCAGGAGCAGACCCCGGTCAGGGGGTCACAGGGGGCCCCGTGGTGGCAGTCGCAGCGCTTCCCACAGCCCGGCCCCCACGACTGCTCGTCACACTCTGCAAGGGGGAGACCAGTGGTACCTCCCCATCCCATCCCATCCCATCCCATCCCATCCCATCCCATCCCATCCCATCCCATCCCAT